AAGACTCGAAAGGACTTGAAATTCAAAGTTTCAGACTTGTGACTTGACTCGGACTTTTACACCAGTGACTTGAGACTCGACTCTGACTTGCCTGACATTACTTGAGACTTGACTTGAGACTTGAGGATAAAGACTTGAGACTTAAGGATAAAGACTTGAGACTTACTTGAGACTTGCAAAACAATGACTTGGTCCCACCTCTGCGATATACAGTGATGTGAAAAAGTATTTGCTCTCTTCCTGATTCCATTTTTGTTTTGTATTTTTGTCATGGTTAAATGTGACAAATTTCAATATTAGACAAAATAACACAAGTCAAGACCAAATGCAGTTTCTAAGTGAAGGTATTTATTATTAAGGGGGAAGATAATTCAAACGTACACGGCCCTGCATGAAAAAATTAAATGGTAAAATGGTAAATGGTCTGTATTTGTATAGCGCTAACACAATCATCCACCCATTCACACACACATTCACACACTGGTGATGGCAAGCTACAAATTACAAATTTGTAAATTACTGCCCACATAAACAATAATAACTGGTTGGGCCATACTTAGCAGCAACAACTGCAATCAAGTTTTTGCTATAACTAGCAATGAGTCTGTTGCAGCCCTGTGGAGGAATTTTGGTCCTCTCATCTTTGCAGAATAGGGTTTTTCTAGCTTAAACCGCCTTTTTAAGGTAATACCACAGCATCTCAACCGGATTTAGGTCAGGACTTTGACTTTGACTAAGCCACTCCAAAGTCATTCAGAGGTGGGTTTCCTCGTGTGTTTTCGATCATTGTCCTGTGGTAGAACCCAAGTCTGCGTCAGGACAGGTCATGAACAGATTACCCACAATTTTGGTAAATTGTGGTAAATTGATGCTTCCATTTTCTTCCAGGTCCTGAAACAGCAAAACAGCCCAAGACCATCACACTACCACCATCATATTTTACTGTTAGTATGATGTTCCAAACACTTTTTCACACCCTTAAAATAAACACCTTCATTTACAAACTGCATTTTGTTTCAGTTGTGTCATTGTCTTCTAATATTTAAATTTGTTTGATGATGTTTAACAACTAAGTGGGACAAGCATACAAAAAAATAGGAATGGGGAAACACTTTTTCACACCACTGTAATTACCAAACCATTTACATTACAGTGATCGCTTACAGGAAAGGGCTATTTATGCATTACTTTTGTAGTTTGCATGCAGCTAATTCACGGATTTACCTTGGAATCATTTGCAAAGGTATGCCCATTATAACCATATTTTTACTTACACTACAATTTGGAGAAAAACCTTTTAGCTCTGACTCGTCAGGGTATGGGCAGGATATCTGGTTCTCAGATTTTTAGTAACCTTTGTGTTTCATGATGGGGTCTCCATAGGTCAGGCTTGTTCTGATGACGATCCATCAAGAAAATTGAGCTCTGGGGAAGTTTTTGGGAAGAATTGAAGGCTTCAAGCCCTTTGAGTCGTGTTGTCCAATACACTGCTGAGCATGTTTTGTTGTGTTGTGTGGTGGGGAGTGACAGCTAACATCAGTTTGTGCTGACTGCTCAAATAGAAAAGCGGTGTATATAAGCCATGTTACATGCTACGTCCATATGATCTTCTGCAGTCTTGATGTGGGTGGCATGGATACCAGGAACCAAGGTTTCCAAGCAAAACATTGTACACTAAAAAGGTGCCTAAAGTTAATACCCTTTATCTTTCAGTCATTTTAATCTTGTGGTTTTTTTATAGATCATAAAAAACACCTTGACTTGCTTCACCTTTTAAATTGCTACTTATATAATAACGTATTCTCTTTTCACAACAATATTTCAATAATTATAACGCACCAACATAATAGCTAGTTTCAACACTTTAGCTGAGAAGGCTCTTTACTTTTATGGAGGTGGAATATCGAATGAAGGACTTTCTAAGTGCTGGTGCACTTTCTGTGTGGAGTTTACATGTTCTCTCTGTGCCTGAGTGGGCTTTCACTGATTTCCTCCCACAGTCCAAAGACATCCATATTAGGGTGGTTCTAAATTGTCTGTAGGTTTGGATTTAAGTGGTAATTGTAGTCTGTCTGTGCGTACTGGCAGCCTGCAATACAACATGTCTATCTAGCAGACAATCATTGTCTCTCATGTTAACTGTTTATGCAGAGCCACTGTATTGTACTGTCCACTACATTTTATACTCTGTAATACTGAGACACTTTGTGGCCATCTGATATCTGCTGCTCATTTATTTATTTTGACTGTATTTAGTAAATCATTTTTGCTCAGTTTTATTGTGAATTTTAGCTATTTTACTTAATAAATCCACTTTCTCCTTCTTGTGGTTGATCCCTTTGGGGGTCATCACAGATCATCTGCCTCCATTTTACCCTATCTCTAACAGCCTTTTCTGTCACACTAAGTTCTGTATATCCTCCTTCACAATATCTTCTCTTGTACTCCTGCCTGGGAGCTTCATATTTCACATTGTTTGGCCAGTATATCCACTATCCCTCCTCTGCACATGTCCAAACCATCTGAGCCTCATCTGTCTAACTTTGTCTCTAAATATCACCTAAGCTATCTCTCTGATATGGTCATTTCTAATCCTGTTCATCCTGGTCACTCTCAACAAAAATAACCATCACTAGAAATACACTGAGTGAATTTATGAAGCCAGCTTTTAAAATAGTTTTTTTTAAAATACTGATGCATTGTATTTTATTATTTTCATTTATATTTTTACACATTGAGCACCTTTAATTAGCTTTTAGCATAACATTCTGTTGGATTTTATTAAGAATTTTGCATTTGGGCCACCTTCATTTTTTAAATTTTATTTTATGTGATTAATTGAGCTCATTTCTTTCTTGCATTTTATTTTTTCCACTTTATTGAAATATTTGTTTTGCTTTGTATTTCTTAGATATGTATTCATTCTGCCTTATTAAAGGTATTTTGTTTTAGGTTATGTTTAATGTCATGCTGACATTGCTCTTTGCTCATATGCTTTTAGTGCTATTTTTTGTTTTGGTTTTTTTTCTGTTCCTTTCTTTTCATATTTCTCACCGTGTTCATTATCTAATAGTTTGCGTGTTGTTTAAATTAACTGATTAGAAAGTTAAAACGAGACATTTGTGTGCGCATGCGCCATGACGAATACAAAAATAAGGAAGTTGATGTAGTTTTTAATAGGTGTAAACAATGCTGTGTTTGTGGCGCCGCTGAGAGCATTCCGAGCTACATGGACACAAGTGTGCTGTTTGTACATACCTCAGATAATGGTGAGAGAAGGAAACGCGCATTATGTGTTCGCGACTGTCTGTTAATGTTTGCTAGCTTTTGATAGCATAACTTCTAAATGGCTAATGTTCTAGCTAATTAGGTAACCAAAGTTCGCTAGCATTAATGCGCACTGGCACACAGTAAAATAATGGCGATTTGCTACGGTAAGTCAGGGTTTGTGAATTTAAGTGATGCTAGTAACTCTGCTTTATGTCGTATTATCGTAGTTCAGTGAATAAGGGAAGTCAATATTGCACACGCACCCCTACCGTCTTATTAGTTACATATGTGTATATTATATTTCCTTTAATTTCTCACAGTGTTTTTTTTTTTTAAAAACCATTCCCCAAATTACTAAAGTTAATTTTTCTTCATTTAAAAAATAAATGAAGAAAAAAAAAGTCATCAAGATTAGTCCCCCTGAAAATAATTTTGTGATTCACTACGACGTTATTGACATAACCCTGAGCTTTCCTGATCACAAATGGCTCTGTGTCGAATCGATGTGACAGCTGTCAGCAAAATAACAAGATGTTTCTGATTGCTCCTGTATACTGTGTTGATATAGCGTCCACAGTTTTTATTTACTGACTTAGTCTTCCTTTTTGGGATCCAAATTAAACACAATACAGGCCTTAAGAGAGATCAGATCACAGGAGTACTCAGATTTCTCTGAGTTCTTCTGGGGTAGGTCAGTGTTGCTGTATTTATTTTGGTTTTTATATTTTCTTTATTTTCTTGAATGGATGCTGCGTCATGAGAAGCAGAATAATCGGTTAAATTGTTTTCATTAACACTGACTTGCTTATTCGCGATGCATAGGAGAAACTGTGTGTGGAATAGAAGCAGTGACCCTCACAAAATTCTCTTGAGTTGTTATCTGCAAGGATTTGTTACTGAAAAGATGGGGGCGGGGGAGTTCCCCTATTCCTTTTCACAAAATCTCTCTTCTATAATAAATACTTTAAATCAAGCTATTCCATGACCTTGCCTGATTTGAATGTTAACCGGTTTATCTGAGGAAGTTATCTGTTCACTGTTTACATGTTCAAGCAGAAGTGGAAATGAAAAGAGCAGATGAGTGTATCCCGGTCACTGGCCTCTCTGTCTTTTTACTGGGATTGCCATTTCAGCGGCATTTCATGGTTCCTATAAAACGTATCTGTGTTGAGAGCATGTATAAGTTTGACGACTGTGATGGATGTTGAGTAATCTTTTCTATTTCTAAATGCTTTGGGCAGTTTTATAAATCAGTGAGCAGAATCCTTTTTTTTTTTTTTCTTTCCCTGTCAATGTTGAGCTTTAGTTGTCAGGTTGTTTTTCTCTGGATAGATCAAAAATAGACGGCTCTCCTTCAGCTCACGACACCGAACGAGATAAATGTAGCCATCTTGGATGATTACCTGTCTGTGCTTCTCTCTCCAAACAGCTTCTATGCCATAATGATGACAACTAGAAGCAACATGCTCACTGCTGGAATATCTAACAATAAGGTCAAATACTCACGGCTGGCTGCTGCTGATGATGGTTACATAGACTTACAGGTGAGAGACTTTGTAGATTGATGACATAATGTTACTAAAACATTTCTCCACCACCAGCAGTGATTTGTTATGAATCGTTAAGTAATGATTCTGTGTAAAAGCTGAGGCCCTCTGTAATTAAAACGACTTTGCAAAAGTTTTAGGCATGATAAATGAAGCTGCTTTCAACAGTAATATCATGAGTAGGTCGTACATAGTTAACTTACAAACAAAGTGGAGTAAACGTGGAAGAAAAATAATCAAATTACTGGGTAGTGTGATCACTGTTTGCATTTAAAAGAGTGCCAGTTCTCTTTGTTATATTGGCATTATTTCTAAATTACTTGCCAGGTAGGTTGTTCCAAGTATCTTGGAAAATGTTCACAGTACTTTGGATTTAGGCAATCCCAGCATCTTTCCATGTAATCTTAGGAAGAATTCATGATTTTGAGATTAGTACTATACAGAGGAGCTTTCCAATTGTCATGGGGCAAGAGATATTTCTTGTTGCTAAACATGGAAGCAAGCTGATCTGGAGATGGGGAAATTCTAATTGCATTAAAGTAGATTAGATTGAGTAGCTGCCTCATGAAATCATATGATATCAATATATTCCGATGTACAAAATTGAAAAGTAACTATATTTTTCCACAATTTCACTTTTCACAGTTCAAGAAACCCCCTCCAAAGATCCCATACAAGGCGATTGCACTGGCAATATTCCTGTTTCTGATTGGCTCTTTACTAATTATCTTTGGGGCCCTTTTTCTGGCAGAAATCATACCGGTTGAGGTGAGTTTGGTTAGTGTGTTTAATATCTGTTCAAAAAAAAATTACATTGATGGAGCCTTTACACCAAAAATAATTTTACTGTAAAGAAATGAAGGACTTTGTCCTTAAACAGAAATGATGTGTGAATTCACAGAAAATGTCATATTGTGCACTTTGTGAAAAAAAAAAAAAAAGAAACGTTGAATAAAAAAAATAGATACTAAAAATTGAAAAATAAAAGTGTATTTGTTACTTGCTCTGGTGAAATGCCATAGGTTATATATTTTGTTATTAAGAAGAGTAAAACTTATGAAAATACAGTTTCAAAGTTTAAGCCTTTAAAATTATCCGCATTTTCCAAAGCCGTCCTGTGGGCCAGATTGGACCCTCTGGTGGGCTTTTCCTGGCCCATGGGCCATACACTGACTTTTCAGTGAAACATATCTACAGCCTTTAGGTTGAAAAACAATTTCCTTGTCTGCTGCCAAAAAACGGTTAGTGTTTACCAAGTCATTTTCTTTTGTTCCTCTTTTCTGAAATCCAACGGTAAGGCTTGTGTCAGGAATACAAGCCCCCAGAAATTCATTTGTGAAGGAACTCCTTCTGTCTGAGCCGCTCCTGTCTTCTTCTGTTTAAAACGTATTTAGAGCTACAGATGGGTGACAAATCAAAGGGAAAACAAAGGTAAATGTTTAGTTTCCAAGACTTAGATTATGTCTCATCCTGGACTAACTACTATTTCTAATGGGGATTGTGATTAAATGTTCTTTTTAGTCTAGGACTATGCTCAAAATGATTATGAAGCAGGCTGAAAGTTAGGTTTTTCACTGCCACATGCTGCCAGAGCAGCTTCAGTGTGCTGTCATGTTATCACTGATATAACAACGCTATGCCTTATTTAGCATGTACAACAAAGACACAAGCCAAACATTTGTGAGAGCGCGAGCAGTGTGTCGGCCAGTGATAAAAGGGTACTACTTCAGTAGTATTGGCTATAAGAGATCAGACCTTCAGATAAGCACAATACTTTATAAATATGCAAGAAAACTGTTCCTGCTAAAATGTGGAAACAACAAGCTTGTTTCACCATTTCAGGAAAAAATGCAGTCGAGTGCAACCAGGCTATGAAAGCACGTGAGGAGGTGATGTGCAATCCAAAATTAAACAAATGACTCACCTGAGCATCACTGGAGCAATTAACTGCACTCATATGACTGGAAGAGTAATCACAATACAACACGACAGATAATAAAACTGAAAGATATTTTATATGTGACAACAATATACAGTTCCTTACAGAGTTGGACTGACAATCTGGTGTTATCTATACTTTTGTTGTTAAAATGTTATGTCTCAAACAAGTACTGAATGCTTTTTATATTTTTAGTTGTGTGTCACACAAACAGTAAATATTGTCAAAAAAATTAAGACGTCTTTGGGGGTGCTATGATTCATTTTGAGGTATACTTTTACCTCCCGGTTACAGATGGGAAGCGTATCTGTAACCGGAAGGTCGCCGGTTCGATCCCCGGGCTCTCTGTCCTGGTCGTTGTGTCCTTGGGCAAGACACTTTACCCTACCGCCTACTGGTGTTGGCCAGAGGGGCCGATGGCGCGATATGGCAGCCTCGCTTCTGTCAGTCTGCCCCAGGGCAGCTGTGGCTACAACCGTAGCTTGCCTTCACCAGTGTATGAATGCGAGAGTGAATGAATAGTGGTATTGTAAAGCGCTTTGGGTGCCTTGAAAAGCGCTATATAAATCCAATCCATTATTATTATTATTACATTTTATTCATGCTGTGTCACTATTGCAGCAAAAATAATGCTGCTGCTCCTGCTGGCACCTTGTGGCAAAAGATTCACACTTCAAATTAGGCAGTCTGTCAACATTGACCAGAACTCATTGGAAAAGAAGGCTGGAATATTCCCTTTACTTTGTATTCACTAATAAATGTTGCTGCCTGCGAGCTGCAATCACAGATACAATGTTCAGTACTTCTTCTATATCAAAAAAATGTAATTATTGCATAATTTCCATTGTGATATATTGTGTGTAATTGTAAGACTATGTTGCCCACCCCAAGATGGAATGCAAGTCAAATAGATATTGTCCTATTTGGGACTTTGATTAGTGTGGTGGGCACCTCTGTCTAACACAAGTTCAGTTTCTCAGAGGAATTCATTAAACCATGAATCGACCCCTTGTGCCCTGTGGATGGGGGCTTTGTTATACTTAAAGATGAGAGTAGGATAGAAATGTTTCTTCAAAGAATAACCATGATTACTGAGACCAGCTTTGTATCGATCCTTTACGTGGAAATGCTAGAGAAATGCAACCGCATGCCCTCGCTGTAAGGGTCAAATCATCACCTCTCTCTGCATGTTACTTTATGTTCGTGTTTCTTCTGCAGCTTCCCTAAGATTTATGTATCCAGAAAATGTTTTCTACATCATTTGAAGGGCATCATCTATAATGCATTTCGGTGTTTGAAGAATAGTTTGTAGCAGTTTTGGAAATATGTGTTTCCTTTCTTACTGACAGTTGAAAAACTACCCCATTCTCATTTGAAGGTGGAGTCTCCAGCTGGTTAGCTTTGTTTACCTGCTTAGTTGAACGATAACAGGGTGTGCTTGCCAAGATATGAAACTCATTAATGAGCATCTTAAATCCACACATAATCTGAAATGAATCAAAACCTAAAATGACAAGTTGGATTTAATTGGGACTCACGTGCCACAGTATTTCTGTCTGTTTCTATGTTGTCTTTGGACAGAGCAAGAATCACTATTTGCCTGGTTTTTTTTTTTTTTTTTTTTTATATAGCTACTGTCTGTATTTATATGCTTAGCATACAGCCATTTGTGTGATATTATTCTAAAGATGTAACTCTGACAAAAGAGAACAAATAGTCTTAAACCACTCCTCATTTCTTTGTGTTTTGAGGGCAAAATGGGAAATGAGTATAGCGATTTATGGAAACGTACAGTATATAGGGCAGAAACAGTTGGTAGAATTGTATTGAGCTTGTAAGTCACTGTTTGGTATGACCACCTTTATTCTTCAACACAGCCCAAACCCTCTGAGGCAAGCTTTCTTGCAATTTCTTTAAGTAGTCTTCAGGAACAGTTCTTTAAGGACATTCAGAGCTCTTCTTTGGATGTTTGCTGCCTTTTGTTCCATTCTCTGTCAAGATGATCCCACACTGCAATGTTGAGGTGCAGGCTTTAGGGAGGCCAGTCAATGACTTTCAGTGTCACATTATGTGTTTTTCTGCCTCAGCCTTTTCTTCCTGTTTCCCTTCCTCAAGAATGGCTTCTTGGCAGCTACCCTTGTACAGAGACCATTTCTGATGAAGCTTTGGTGAACAGGTGATGGATCAACTGAAAGGCCAGATGCATCTCTTAGGCCATGTGCCAGGTCTTTGCTGGGAACCCCCCCCCCCTATTTCTTAAGGACAATACGTTCAGAGACCGATCATCTGTTGTAGATGTTTCTTTGTTTGTTTGTTTTTGTCAGGCCTGTGCTGCTTTTATCCTCCTTCTTGTCTAGTTTCTTCAAATGCCTTTAAGCACACACTGCATAGCATGTGGAGATACCCCAAGTTATTGGCTAGCTCTTTGGGAATAATATAAAATACTATTATACACTTTTAAAATGTGTTATCTTTGATATTTTTTGACTCATATGAAGTAAGTTGCTAGGTACTAGTAACAAAGGACCTAAAGATACAGTTTGACTGGTTGTTTACGAAGTTGTCTGTTATGTGTAGCCTTTCCATTCCTTGAGTTAGATGTTATCTGCCTGACTACTTGTTAACAGAAATATCTCAAATATCTAATCAACTCAGTATATCTAAAGCAACTCAGTGCACTTAGCCTTCAACTTAGAGAATGGTCCAAAAAAAGAGAGCATATCCAGTGAGCATCAGCTGATAAATTTGCAGCAACTGTGTGATGCTGGCATTGTCAGTATGGACCAAAATCTCTAGAAGTGTTCTAGAGACTAGACCACAGACTCCTGTACCTTGATGAATCCATGCCAAAAATAGATAAGACAGTTCTGAAGGCATAAAGGGTTCCAGCCTGATTTGCTGACAAGAATAAGTAAACAAGACGGTCAACAGGGGCGATTTTAGCCCATTTCAAAATGGGTACAAGGTCAGGAAGAACCAGGTAAAAAAAAACAGACAGGGAATAGTGACAGGCAAAACAGAAACTGTTAAACTGCTTGAGAGAGTTGATCACCAAAAAGTGATAGACAGATTTGCCAACCTCAAGGTGAGGCGACATAGTTTAAAATAAAATAAAAAATCTGCAGAGCCATATTAGTGCAGTAAAGATCTTTTCATACATTGTATACATTGTACCATAGGCAAAGTTGCCTCCATTTTTATAATTTTATTTATCAATATTTTGTACATTTCAAGGACTCTATTTTTGGAGTGTATTTTTATATATCTGTATTATATTATACATACACATTAAAAGGGAATCTCTGTCCAAAAAATGCACTCGGTTAACTTCTTACTCACTATGATCATAATCATCATTTTCCCCCAGTAATTAAGGTTAGGATATGTATTTTTTTTATTCCAATCCATCCTTCATTTGCAGCATTTAAATAACCTTTATCAGATTTGATGGTTTTGTTACTGACTTTTCAAAATATGTGTTTTGCTTTTCTTTCACAAATGTGGGGATTAAATTGTTTTAAAATGTACAAAGCAGTAATGTCATGTATTAAGATGAGGACCCAGGCACAGAGAGACTTGATGAATTTAAGAATCTTATGATTTAATAAAGAAATTTGCAGACTTGCACAGAGATGGTAAAATTATGATGACTGATAATGGAGACGAAGACAACAGACGATGAGGACAGGGAGGAACAGGGGTTTAAATGCACCAAGGAGACAGTCAGAGGGAACTCGGGACAACTGGAGACATTTAAGGATGCAGGGACTGACAGAGACGGGGAAGACGTCTCATCGTGACGAGTAAAGTTTATCTTGCCTGGCTGGGCAGCTCTCTGGGTGCTCAGCACCCCCAAAGCTCTGATCCTAGAATCACCCCTGACGGTCAATCTGCCAGATATTCTTGTTATACATGACTGTTTTTGGTACTATAAAGACACTTCTGTCTGCACTAATAAAGCACTGTTGGTATTACCCAGCCCTACTTTTGACACACAGTTGGAGAGCCAACAAAAAATCCAAACTTTCATCCTGAGCAGCAATTAAAACACCCCTGCTGCTGTTACTCTTGTTCTTAAATAGCTATAATTGAACAGCTGTCCTGAGATTTTATAGTCCTCCTGTCAGATTTGTGCTATGCTCTTGCTTTTACTGGTCTCAGTGCTTTTATGTGTTTCTGAATATAACTAATGATTTTGATATTTTATAGCTTGGAGTTTAAACTTCAGTGGAACCCCTCCTTTGGGGTTTTTGCTTCCTAAATCCATGACACTGAGGAGATAACTCAGCCTACACATATTCGCATTATCAGTGGGAGGGTAATGTGAATTTTTTTATACCTACTCTGCAGATGGTATTTGCAGAAAATTTGATCTGACGTGAAGGCAGCATCAGAGTATATGAGTCTGTTGTACTTGCTAGTTATCCCACACAAGTTAAAATAGCATATCTAATACTAGGAGATTATCCAAGTTTCAAGCGATAGATACTACAGCAATAGAAATCAGACAGGTTTGTTTGCAAGAGGCTGCATGGGTTTGGGGCTAAAATAATGTTTGATCTTTGTTGTGTGTGTGTGTGTGTGTGTGTGTTTGTGTGTGTGTGTGTGTGTGTGTGTGTTAGATAACAGTTGTTATACAACTGGAACCATGTCAAGGGCTTCAGTGAACATTGTGTTGGGAACCTTTGACTCAGCCTAGTCAACCATTGTAGTGGCAAAAAAATAAATTAACCAAGGGAAAAGAAGTTGAAGGAACGCAGCCAATTTAGGCAATAAATTCCTATTTATTTATTTTTGAAGAGTCAAGGGTCAGTTCACCCAAATTAATGCAAAGAGACTGAAATTAAAGATCTTTTTTTTCACTTCCTGATCTTCTGGGACTTTTGTATTCTTTGCCTGTTCTTCCTTAATGATTGGAGCTTGCTCACTTCTCATGGTGGTGGCTCAGTTATCATGTGGCCTAAATATAGGGCCACTGTCATGCCAACTGAGCCATCTCGTTTGGCAGGTGAGGAGAAGTCTCCTGCTGACATCCATCAGAAAAGGTGCTGTAAGTGGACACTTTACAAGACAGATAAATAGAACATTTCAGAAGCTTAATACAGACAAATGATCGACATTACCGCAGCCCAGTCCCTGTCTTTTAAAAAAAAAAAAAAAGAAGAAGAAGAAAAAACTGGTTGAGGGTTACAGTGACTCTGAGCACAAGACTGCCATCTGGTGGTAAAATTAAACAAATTAAACATGTCTTTGGTGTTGATGGCCTTTGCCTCCTGGTTGTTAGATGCCATGCATATGAAATGACTTATCATTTACATGAAATCTGATGTCAGACTATGAAGTCATTATGGCTGCATGCCTCATCAGCATAGAGTGTGTTCATGTAATGCTGACAGGCAGTGTTGAGGTAAGTATGTTAAAGCATGATGGAGAACATTAGTCTTTAATGACTTCCTCTTGCATTCTACTACTAAATGCAATATTTGGTATTCAGTATGTATGAAGTCTATCTAAACTTGGTTACAGAATGTAATAATGTGAGCATTAACGAGTATTTATTTAGGTAACTAACTGAAATCATAGTGTGTAAATTCCTTCTGATTACCAGATTTTCTTTATTTTTTTTCTTGATGTTTTTAGCATCCCGACCGCACTATTCCTGTCATCATCATAGGGATACTCGTTTTTCTTCCGGGATTTTACCATTTGAGAATCGCCTACTATGCTGCAAAGGGTTACCGGGGTTACTCCTATGATGACATCCCAGACTTTGGCGACTGAACCAAATACCATCCAATCATCCCCTATTTTTCCTCATTGTGTATCTTGGTGCCTGCTGTTTTCTGACTGAATGTATGTATCAAAGAGTAAAACCATATAATTTTAGGATAGATATCTGTATTTGTCTGGGTGGGCTTACTGAAAGATTTATTGTTTGTGTGTGTGTGTGTGTGTGTGTGTGTGTGTGTGTGTGTGTGTGTGTGTGTGTGTGTGTGTGTGTTTTGTTTTTTCTCTTCTCCTAACTTTCTTCCTAAAATGTGGCTTGTGTGTTCACATATCTGCCAAAGCTTTACAGAAGTTAGAGACTTTACATATATATGCAGCTTTATTAATATTAAAACACTCAGTGACTGGTGGATATCAGTCCATCTGCTTACCTGAAACAGCACATCAATGTTTTTGCTGTTACGCACCTCACTACATACATTAAGAAATGATCAGTGAGTATAGATTTTGACAGATGCCTTTAATTTACTATTCCTAGAGTGCACGACTGAGAATCGGTGTGATTATTGTATAGTACTTTAATGATGTACAAATAGGCATCTTGTATTTTAAATTTGTGGCTTCATAATGTGTTACATCGTAAAAGACGATGGGAACTTGCATGTCTCCTAAAGATTGTATTTGTATTGCTATCAAGATTTATTACTTTAACGATGTTAAGTATATTTTTTAACCAAAAAGTATCACTTCCCTTAAAAAGTATTGCCTTTTGTCTACATTTGCTTGGTTTTGAATATTTACCAAAATGTTATTTTGCATACACTTGCTGGAGTTAAAAATATTAACAACAATAAAAATGAAACTACAAATCTACAAAAAAGTTTGATGTTTTTTGTTTTTTTTATCCTTTGTGATTGTTGGGTACAGCTGGATTACATCCTCTGCAAAGTCTTTTTTTTTTTTTTTAGATATGCTTTTGATGTCAGACTGCATGAATCAAAACTTGAGTGTTTAGCAAAGAATCATGACTCACTTTAATAAATAATCTGTGTTAACATGTGTCTATATCAAAAAGCGAAAGACAGGGATCAAAAAAGCAATTTTAGGAAAAACTTTCACTAAGTTTAAAAAAAAAAAACCCAAACGTCTGTCCTTTGTCTAAGAAGTACATCTGTTCTCCCCGTTTGGCCACCAACATCAGGTAAAGGACACCCTCTTGTGGTTACCGCTAAGCTGGATGCCATCAAGGGATTAAGGGCTAAAAAAAAATCTCCTTTCATCCTCTGCCTGCACAAACAAACACAGTTATTAAATCAGCATTGGCTCAAACATCCAGGGGCTTATAGGACTGTGGTCTGTCAGTTTACTTTGTTTTGCTTTGAGCCATTTGAACATAACAAGGAAACAGGAGCAAGCAGCGGAGGGAGGAAGGAAAGAAGGGAGGGGGGAGGTTGGACTCGGGCAGGAAGAGCACAGTACGTCGATCCCTCGCTGTCACCTGTAAGTGAAATGAACACCTGTTGCCGGTGGGCTTTTAAAAGGAAAACGCTCAAATTTCAGGTAGTTTGCAACGCTACAAAGGAATAAGGCCCGTTTTTAGTTTTTCAGCCACTGACCCGGTGTCTACAAACTCGGGCACAAGTTGGACTAATACTCGAGAAGGATGTGTTTTTAAAAGCAAAATCTGCCAGCGGCTGAAACGGAGCTACAGGTAAGATAAGTAAGAAAAAATAGAAGATGTTAATGATTTTGAAAGTGTGTCTGACTTCCAGCAGCTTTAAAAAGATGAGAAATTAATGCTCGGAGCTCAAACTGTGGAGTGCCAAGTTCCCTCTCAATCCTCTGAACTGTGGCATGCATTTAAACGTCAGTAATGAAGTTTCTATGGGGGGGGGATTTTCATTCTAATGCGCAATATGAAACTGACAGAAACTCAGGAACAGCCATTTGCCATGAGTAATTTAAACGTCCCAATGCAAACTTAAGTCTGTTTTCTATTGTTTACATTATTTATTTGTATGTTGTTTTTCCTTTATGGCTGTTGCTTTAATTGAGAATGACAACCTTTAGATTATTAAAGAATTTGGAGTCACGTTATTAGAGAAAAACAGGGCTAAGATATTGGCTGTTAGAGCGTGAGTAGATAAACACCGTACATTCACAAGGAGGGGATTTTATGCCGCATATGGATACAACTTTCACAAGCAGCAGTGCAATATGTAGAGCCAGAACCAGCATATAAGAGCTCATATTTTTCTGCTATTGTCTTATATTGAACCCACCGTCTATCTTTATTTCACCACTTATGGAAGAAATGGTCTCATAACTTTCCGAGACAAGCATCATTTAATGGTTTGAAATTCTATTCTTGGTTTGAATTGAGGTTGCTGATGTGCCAGATGGGTGCAGTTTCCCGTTATATATTATTTTCCATAAAGTTTATATCATCAGAGGGAGCAGAGTGGCAATTAATTCAGCAGGACTTGGTGGCACCTGAATAGTACATATGCAATAAACACTTCAGATCTGACACCTAAAGTGGATTGAAGTAGATCATTATCTACAAAACTATTTCATTCCCAGTGGGTTTTTTTTTTTTTAAGCTTCTGCGTTCCAGTGAGCCCAGTACTGATACTGGAGAAAAACCGACAACAGTGTAAATAAAAAAAGGCATTCTTTAGGTTGAATAACATACAAAACATCTATGCAAGGTGGTTTCTTCAGTGTAATACACCTGTGGAAACCATCAACTGCTCAGTGTTTGAAATTCTAGTTAAAAGTGCAATGCACCACAATACAATGGCCCTTTAAAAAAGGAAAACGTAATGTATTAGTGTATCCCTTTACAAAACAGACAGCTGGGACTACATGAACAAAAATCTAATCTACTATGTGTTTATGCATTTAAATTTTGTAAATACAATAGTGTTATGATTCAAATGTTGCTAAGTCATGATTGGTCCCTTATTGTCACCTGTTAACAAACTCAGCCCCTCCCACTTTAAACCACAGAGAAGAGCAAAGGCAGACAGAAAGAAAGGAAACGTACAAGCCCCTACTATGGTGAAATACCCAAAACGTGTGTAACTTTGGATGAAAATTGTGTACAATGTTTAGGATAAAGCTGAATTTAAAAAGAAAAAAAGTGTTTCAGGAATTTAAAGCAGAGCTGTTGTGATCATTTCCAACTTGATATTTTTATTCTTGACTCTGCTGAGTTTCTTTGCACGATTCTTGCTTCAAAGTACTAATTCACTGTGGGAAACAAGCAGTTTCAGTTCCTCTCCCTTTAAGGCCACTCTCCCTTAAAGCAAACAGTAGATTTTGAACAGAAGCATTTAGAGCAGTCTGAATCCTTAGATTTGGACTCACAATCATTTGTACATATGCTCACCTCATTTGAAACATTTGGCCTTGTATATTATGAGCAAACACTGCCCTAATGTTTGAATTTCATCTGATTTTAAACCTTGAGTTGAATGAAAGCAATGCTTTCATGTCTCTTTTTTTAGACATGAAGACCTTAACTTGACACCAATGATTTAGACTTTCATGCAGAGTTTATCCCTTTCATTTGGAATGACAACAGCCTCTCCAAGCCCAAAGATTAAACACTTTGTCATAAAATCTTTTCCCTAACAACCACAGAGCTTTGAATGATTTCAGCAGTGGCCAGTCATGTTGCACGAGCTTTGGAGAAAGGTGCATTTGACAGTGCAGAGCAGCAGACAGACAGCAGATGATACCTTGTGTTATTTGATTCAGATGTCAAGACTCTGTGGTTATCAACAAAACACAGACAGTAGCATGCATAACAGCAGAGAAATGACAAATACTTGCTCAAAATTGGACCATTAGTTTACAGAGAACTGCATTATCTGAAATGTTTGGTAGCATTGTTAATATAGATGGTAGTTGACAGTGAATTTGGATTTATAACAATTTATTTATGGCTTGAAAGACAACATTTATGACTTCAGCTTAACCTGGAACTTGCGGCTCTTGATTTGGGACTCAGCTCTGTAACCTTTAGATGATGGATTAAATGAAGTAAAGATTGTGGCATTCACCTGGATTCACAGAACGGCTTCTGAGCAGAGAGATGCAATACCCACACTGCAAAAAAAAAAAAAAACCTCTTTATTTTTCCAGTTTTCTCTCTCAATTCGAATGCCCTATTTTCGCTTAAGTGCACATCAAACCAAGCTACACAGAGAGGTTCCTATTGTGATGGAAAGTGTGTGTTTGACTTTGAAAATGGGCTTTTTCTAACCCATGTGCAAGCCATGAAAAAATACAATGTAGACTTACAGGGTGGGTTAGAGCAGGTTGATTGCCAATGCGCAGTATTTATGAACTCTGAGAGGGAGCTGACAGTCAGCACTCATGACATGACAGCTCACATTTGCAAAATTGTCAGTAATGAAATCAGCACATGGTCTTGGGATGGGTCCACGAGTCATGGGAGCTTCCTGTGGTGCCTGGCACCAGTGGATTGGCCGGAGTTCCCTAGGGCTTTTGTTGTCTGGCCACATCTGTGCTTAAGCCATGGGACCTTTGGGGCTAGTGGAGGGCACTGCTACCTGGGAAGCTGCGGAGACAAGGGTGTGTGGTTGGCTTGCATTAATGTTTTGGTGCATGCTACGTGTCAAAGAAGTATCCATGTGAATGCCAGTGCACAGGAATACCACTGCAGAATATTGCACTGTAACAAGATGATGTCATTTTAATGTTGTGGCTGATTTGTGTATATGCAAACTCAGTAGGAAGCCAGAACTGTGGGACTTCAAAAACCTACTTATTTTAGATCAAATGTTAAAAAGTACTTTTAACGTAAATCCGAACTCTTTTGGGAATAATTAAAGTTATATAGCTTTTTTAAAAGTTGTGTGAATACTATATTTTTTTTCAACTAGTTTGAGACCAAACCACGCAAAGTACTAAAAAAGAAATACTCTAGAGAGTTGGAAAATTTCGAGTCAGCGTTTCTTATTTCAGCTCACAAGTCTTTAAGGAGGGAAGTAAAAAATCTGGTTTTATAGTAGTCCACTACAAAGCAGGACCATCGGTTGACATTTTTGGCTTTTTAGTTTATTAAGCTAAGCTGCTATTGAATTGATGACTTTGGCAAAGTATGACTTTTCCTGTTCTGCCACCATCAGGTTATCATAGTAGTACAGTACTTTGGTATAGGGGATGGCGTGTATGTGTGTGTGTGTGTGTATATATATATATATATATATATATATATATACACTCAAATACATATTAGGGGTGCAACGATACACAAAATTCACGGTTCAGTTTGGTTCGATACTTTGGTGTCACGGTTCGATATTTTTTCGATACAAAAAAAATGTTCATGCTTTTTTAATTTGTCATTTATTAAAATCACAAATAAATATTTTAACTCAAAAGTGCAGTTTTTAAATTTAAACAACAAATGCTGAAGTAATAAAAAAAAAAATCTATCTGATCGAGGAATCACTCATCTTTGGAAAAGAGAGTTTATTACAGAGAAATGGCTCTTTCCAAAATAAAAGCTATACTATACGCTTCTTCTGGGCTATATTCTCAGCAGCATATTAAACATATCAGGTCCCCATAAGGAGGATCATGTGCTAACGGCTGTCTAAATGACTCGGGTAAAGTTTGTAGCATGCGTGCTTGTTGTTTTTGTCTGCTTCCACTTGTCTTTGCACTAGGATGATGTCGGATATTCATTGTGTTCCCACTAGTGCTGTCAGCGTTAATCTGAAATGACGTTAAGGCCACAACACGGCAAATCTCCGTTAACGAGCTACCGTGGATCTCCCAGTGCATGGGGCTGGACGGCCAACACCTTAACGAGCTAACTGCGCTAACACAGTAATTCCCACCCATGTAATTGAGCATTGCGTGGCACATCCGAGATACTGTTTTACTTTTGTCCATGACACGCCTACCTTCAGGGTCATACTTCACATAAAGACCAAACTAGTTCCAAAGGCCAGATCTGAATGAGGGTGGGGGAGGTTCAATTTGCCATGTTGCAACGAGCTTAGCTTCTGTCTTGCTAGCTTGTGCTGCGCTCAGTGAATCTGCGCTAGACAGTGCAGCCTAGGTGGAGTAGTCGAACGCAGATCCACTGAGCTCTCAACACAGACAGCATCGTCAGAAGAAAAGTTGATAAAATAAATTAAAATTTTAGTATTGTTCTATACATATGCATACATATCGATACATAACCGAAAGCACTGTATCGACCGGTTCAATATCAATACCAGTATCGTATATATGTATGTATGTGTATGATAGCTTTGCCATTGTGAGACTATGCCATCATGCTATTATTAATTAACCGATGTACCTAACTGTTAGTATTACGATGACTACACATTCTTGGGCTTGCTCAGATTTAAATCCACATACACTCTACCATAACAGCAACCTTGGAAATTCTCTGCGTGTCACGCTGTGTGAGCACACTTTGAAAACTCTTCAAATATGTGATGAATACCTGATGTTAAAGTATGTGTTGTATTCATCTCAGTTGGAGGCTGTTCGGTGCCCTGAGCTTTAAAGTGTTGATGGACGTGTATCACATGTGATTCACAGCGCAAGCTTTGCTTTGGATTACTGTCTTCACTGTGTTTCCCTCACAGTTGCACTATAATCTGTTTAAATCCAAATCCAACCCCTATGGAGGCCTTTTAGTGCGATTCGGGACCATGCCTGAAGTTTGAGTTCTGCAGCGCTATAGGAATTTAATATTTATAGTCATGCCTTTGGATTAATGATTTTGTTTGTCCAAAGCTGAAGCACCATTTTCTGTTAAACGCTGTTGTTTACCTCTTTAGGTCACAGCAAATGAGCAATTTGACTTCTTTCCCCTTTCTACTTGCACTCTGGTCAGAGGCTAATGTCCAATTTACTGTAGCTTGCTGGCAGATACAAACAGCCTTGAACAGTTCTAACCCACAAAACAAATACCCTTGGTTTCATATTCTCTAACGGATGCAGCACCTGTTGTTTTCCAAATCGATACCAGTGCTATTGTAACAGACATATTTTGAAAATAGGCCCAAACAAGCAGGGACCACAGCAAAATGCATGGATGAGAAACAGAATGAAAACATTTAGGCAAGAGGAGCTCCTTTATCTTTAAGTTTTAATTGTGGTAGGTAAAAGGAGAGCTGGCTGCTGATAAATCTGTGACTGTGCCCTCTGTGATGATTAATCAGCTGCTCCCCATTTCTTTCCTTATGTAGATTAAAATGGCAACAACGCAGAATTTCAGCAGCAGCATGCCTGTCACTGACTTTTCTATTTCTGCCAGCTGATAAATCTATGCGAGACAGGGCGCTTTCTTTTGTGAGCTACTGGCTCATTTAGTATAGCTTTATACATTTTCCAGAGTGCTGTGCTGTCACCGTGCTTGTGTTTATGTGCATCCTTTCAGTGTCAGAGGAAGGGATAATACGTCTGTGGGAAATGTCTAGAGACCATCTGTGTTACCATGGCTGAGAGCTTCACCTGTGCGGCCCGCTTTGTTTGGCATCTCTCTGAATTTTTGGTTCAAATTTAATGATGGAAAATGTCCTGCAGTTGATTTTTTGCC